TAAAAGCAGCCATGAGGAAGCACTATTAAATATTTGTGGGAAGAGTGAGAAGTTTAAAATCACATTCTGTCTTCTGCTGACATGACATGCCTGTATCTCTTTGCCTCATCAACTTGCTGTTCCTTTTCAAATCACAGCTGAGCACTTATTTTTTCTCCCTTACCGCTCTTTCTCTCTGTGTCATTTTCTATTTTCCTCTCAGAGTTACTTGGAATACCAATATACGAGGCAGAGTTTGTGTGGGATAACACTGTGCCAACTAAGTCTATGTCCACACTACCTCCCAGATCAATGCTCTGAGATCGAGCCATGGGCAGTCAATTTAGTGGGTCTACTTAAGATCCATCAAATCGACTGCAGATTGCTCTGCAGTTGACCCCTCTAATCTATCCCAGACAAGAAGCACAAGGTAGCCAAGAGAAGGTCCCGCAGTAACTTGACCTAAAGTGTGTCAATTCAAATTACATTTTTCAATGTAGTTGTGTATTTTAGGTCAACTTACTGCCATAGTGTAGATGTAGCCTAAGAAAATGGTGTTACAGCAAGTAATGGGAGGGTGTGAATGTGTCAAGGTTTCATACACCACCATCATTAAATATTGACAAGAAGGTGAAGATCTTCATGATATTTACCTGTCTAAGTCCTATTGTTTTCAGTGCTACCTTTGAGGATCTGGGCTATACTGATTAAAAGGAGAATTTAGAGTGAAATTTGCTTAGATGCAGAAGGCTAGAACAATGATTATGCTCCAATAAAACCCCACCTAACCCTATAAGGGATAATAAATAATTTTGTTATAAAATAAAACTGCTCATCTTGGAGCTGCCATCTTGGATATGAAAGCCTTGCTATGTTTTCTCTGGGCTTGCAACCAGAGAAAACACGTCACCACTTACGAAGATTTTTCAGGCCAAATTCTTACTCCCCTTTGAAGGTAGAATTCATCATGGCATTTGAAATTTAGCTAACCATGTTGTTGAAAACATACAGGCTAAAGGAGAATCCAGCTCACTCTCCCATAGCTGTAGTCACTTGTAATTAGCTGGAAAACAAATTACTAGAAACATACCTCTATTACAATCAGATGAGATTCACAGCAGACACAAAAAAACAGAAGACATGAGTAAGAAGTTATCATTTCCAATAGGTAATTGCCAGAGCACAACTGTACTTTAAACTTTTCAGCTGTAAGTTAACCCTCCAATTCAGAGGGAGTTGGGTGGTTAACACTTTCATCCCTGTGGAAAACCCGAACTTTAATTACCACTATTTACATAACTCTGCTCCAGGTAAAGCGCTCCAGGTAAGTGCTCCAGGTAAAGCTAAATGACTGTACTGACAGCCATTTTATGGTAGATCGTTAATTATTTCTACAAACACATCAAAGTCTTGGTAAATCAGAAAGGAGTGAGCATCTGTGTATTGTTTACAAGAGGTCCTAAAAAGCAAAGTGCAATGACAGTTTGCATGAAATACTGCTTGTAAATTTCTCAAATCACAATTTAAATCCCTGAATAGATTGATCGTGTTCTGGGAGTTTTCCCTTTAGGACAAATACAATCAGATTTCATTCTAACTTGACACTTCTTAAACAAATCATTGAGAAACTATTGAGTAAGAAACTCTTAAATTGACCCTTGAGGTATGAATCTGAGCATTCCTCCTCCTCGTTGATAGTGCAGTGTAAAATAAACACCATTTCTGACTGCTTTAAGAGCTCCAGGTAAAGCTAAATGACTGTACTGACAGCCATTTTATGGTAGATCGTTAATTACTTCTACAAACAAATCAAACTCTTGGTAAATCAGGAAGGAGTGAGCGTCTGTGTATTGCTCGCATTCCCAGCTGAAATAATATCACAGAGGTATGGCAATTTGCAGCCATCACAAAGCACTTAGGCTGACGCTCTTAATGGGACCAAGGCTAAATAGTCCATCACTTGAGAGTGGTGCAGAGTGGTTTCATGCAGACTGGGCAAAACAGAAAAGGGTTAATATAAATAAGTGCCTACATATTCTACTTACCTAAGAGCCCAGTTTGTAAAATGCATGAATTCTGGGACATTGCCACATAAACGAGCAACTTCCTAGCCACTCTACGGGTGTGTCTACATTGCACCGTTATTTTGAGATAACTAGCGGTATTTTGAAATAACAATGTGAGCATCTACACAGCCATTCCTTTATTTTGAAATAATTTAGAAATAATGGATAGCTTACTCCAAAATCTGTAAACAGCTATTTCGAAATAAGACGTGTGTAGATGCTCCACTTCTGCTATTTCAAAATAGCCCCTCACCAAGGCCATTCTAAGTTATTCCTCCCCAGTGTCTCCAAAATAAGCTATTCCAGAATAGTTATTCTGAAATAGCACATCTACATTAGGGAAGCCTGCTTCGGACTAATTTTGAGGCTTCCCTGCAGTGTAGACGTGCTATTTCAGAATAACTATTCCAGAATAGCTTATTTTGAAATAAGCATGCGGTGTAGGCCTGCCCTGAGATGTATTAAATAGCACAAAGGGAAATAATTTATCAATAGGTTTGAGCAGTGGTTTTTTTTTTGTGACGGTATTGCCCGGAATGGCGTACCGTCACCTATTTTCCCGCCCACAGAAAGGGAATGGGATTTCCCCCGAGCATACTGGCACCTGTTTTCCTGGGGCAGCTCAGCTCCTGACAGAAGTCTGCTCGGTACACGTGGCGTTTTTTCTTCCGGCTCCCAGTGCAGTGCTGTGGCTCTTAAAGGAACTGTGGCCGAATTTCGGCCCCCAGTGCAGGTTTTTTTTTTGTTTGTTTGGCTCAGCAAGCTTTCCTTTTTTGCTTAACAAGTTTGCCCCAGAGTACCAGCACTATTTTTCTTACAAAAAAAGCACTGGCTTTGAGAGCAAGGTAGCTAGCATTACTGTTCAGATACATTGATTGTACACTCATACAGATCAACCGAAGTAATGAAAGAGAAATAACCTATGGGCCACATTTTCAGCATGCTGAAAAATCTATTGCAAGTGGATTAAGAATATATACTTGGCTATAAATATTATTTCTACTATGATAAGAGGCCCTGGAATTCAGAGTCCCATTATGTTAGGTAATGTACAAAGTCATACTCACAAGAGGTATAAATCCCCAAAACTTTACAACTTACACAAGATATCCAAAGCATGTATGTAGCAGGCTATGGCACTCTAGCACCACCTTGTGGAGAGGGTGGGTGCTACTGGTGTTTCAGAATCCAGGGAATTGCTGGTAAAAGCATTTACTTTTTTGCAGGGGATAGTTAAAGTAGCCCAAATGAAAAACCAGTATGTTTCCATACCCCATGGGAAGCAGAGTCCTAGGCCTTTGGGAAGGCAAAGAGAAAAATATGGCCCTTCTCCATGCCAAGAAGACCTGGGTGGACCTGGGTGATCAAAGTTCAAGCTATTTGTTCTGTCAGCAACCCCCGCTTGAAGGGAGCTCCGAGATACAATCCTGCTTCTTCAGCTTCCCACTTGCCTTTTGAGGACTCGCCCATCTGCAGGCTTGACAAGCTTCATAGGTGTACTGGTTTGAGGTTGATTGTACCCAAAGGAGATCTTTAACCCTTTCCTGGTCAGGGTCAGGGGCAATAGAGGAAAAGAGCAATTGATTGACTTCCCTAAGAAAAGCTTTGGTAGTCCTAGGAATTGAACCCAAATATCCCTAGAGCTTAATCACAAGACCATTCTTCCTCTCTGGAGTAAGATGAATATAGGTGTGTACACCCACATGCATGCATAGACACACACATGTAGGAACACACAATATTATTTGATTCAATTAGATCCATTTTATAATGCTGATAATCAGAAAGCCAGCCCACTAGATAGATTAAGCAATAACAGATTTTTGATCCTTCCGCTATTTAAAAAGGTTTCTGAGGGTGATGGTTAATATCTAATCTCTCCCTCTTATGCCAAGTCAATGGAAAGGCACTGCCTATTAACACCAGTTAAAGAACTTTATTTTCAAAGTCAGTAAATTACTTGTGTTATTTTCCAGCCTGAGGCCTTTCTAACACAGCCATAGCTCTCTCTTACATGCACACCTCCCTAGAGACTCTCAGGATAGAATTTTCAAACTGATTTCAGGTATATTTTGCTAGTCCAGAAAACCTCACTGGCGGATTTCCTTGTTAGAGGGAACAAGATGCCTGTAGGCTGTGGCTCCCTCTAGAACCAATAGCAAGTAGGAAAAGTGGCAGAGAGGCTTCTGGGACTTGACATTTATAAGTAAGGTAGGCTTTCCAGAATCAAAAGCCCATGAATGAATGCTTTACAGTGTTATAGTAAAGCACTATAGATTAACACCCTGTCAAGTTCTTTACCATTAAATATATTATGGTAGCTCCTGTTAGAGGTCTTATCCCTTCCCTGGGCCTTCTCACATGAACAGAGAACAGTAATACGTGAAGTTTGGAGATGTAAATAATTCAGTGTTTATTGGGGTTTGTTTTCAGCAAGCAGGAATCCAGTTTCCATTACTTTTTCCTTTGTCTTTTTCCTACTTACTTCCTGTTTGCCTCCAAAATAGAAAGTAATATTCTCAGTTACCCCTTAACACAGTGTTTCCCAAATTTATTTGGCCATGGAACCCTTTTAAACTCAGAAGAATTTCCAGGAACCCCTAGAGACGGTGGGAGGAGCGGGGGGTTCGTGTGGAACCCTTACTTTCCCTTTGCGGAACCCCGGGATTTCACGGAGCACCATTGGGGAAACATTGCCTTAACCAGTCATTCTACTGAAATTTAAGTACCCAATCCTCATATATTATAAGATTATTCCATCATCTTAATTGGTTTACACCCAGCAAAATTCATACAGCAAACAGAAAAAATCAAAGAGCCAGACAGAGGCAATACAGGTAAACAATCCAAAGATGGGGAGCACAATGACAAACCAATAAAGAAATGAGGGTTTCGCCACTCCAACTATTGATAAGACAGAAAGCTCTTCACCTAAATGTTCTTTATATCTTCTAGGTTCAGACCTCGTGCAAGGCTTCTGATACAAGCGCTTCCGTCTTGGACTCTCTCCCTACTTCAGTCTACGCTGGCCAATATATCATTGTCAGCATTGTACCGGTTAGTTTTATTCCTCACCATCTTGTGACTAACAGATGAAATCCTAACCTCCTTGAAGTCAAAGGGAGCTTTATGACAGACATGAACAGAGCTAGGATTTCACCCCCCTGTAAGATTTCCACGTGAAGGCTTGCTCTGGTGGGACCTGTCTATGTAATCAATGAAATGTTAACAAACAGAAACACAATATTAAACACTTTTTAGAATCTAGTGTAGAAAAGGTAGTTGTGCTTCAAAAAACATGCTAGCTGATTCTAGTTAGCCCAGGGACAGAAAGTCAATACAATTAGTAAATAGAAGTAAATACCCAGATGGATAGCCATTACCAGCTAATGCATTTTAAAATACAATTCCCTTTCTCTACACATTAGCACATTTGCCTCCTTGCACCAGTGTCAACAACCCCTCTAAGGGGAGAGGAGGTGAAACCAAGTAGTTGGGGATTTGAAGAAGATGACTGAAGCTCTCCCTTGTTGACCTTTAGGACTTTGTAAGCACTATCTGTGTTCACATAAATTACCTTCTGATGGGCTCATCCTCAATTAAGTGGAATCTGATGACAGAACTTTAGATCAGAGGAGTTCATCACTGGCAAAATGTCTCTGTTATTGACTACATCCCCTTATGAGATTTTTCCCTGATCAAACCATTATTTTTGTAAATCCCAGCGGCTCTCAAATTGGCACCACTTGATTTAAAAAAGCAAAAACAAACAAACAAAAAACCGACAAGGAGTCCTGTAGCACCTTATAGACTAACAGATGTATTAGAGCTGTAATTTCCACTACATGCATTACATTAGAGATGTAATTTCCACTACATGCATCTAACAAAGTGGGTCTTTGCCCATGAAAGCTTATGCTCCAATACATCTGTTAGTCTATAAGGTGCTACAGGACTCCTTGTCGCTTTTGCAGATCCAGACTAACACGGCTACCCCTCTGATACTAAACACAAAACCCTTAGCCTAACATGAACCCTATATTGTCTCCACTGGAGAGACTGAAGATTTTTTTTCCTTCTGCATCTGTTCTGGCAGACAGTTTTCCTGATATTTTAGATAGCTCACTGATCTTTTCTTTGTCTTGCGGGACAAACTTTCAGGTCTCTCCTTAATATGCTGCATTTTGTTTGGTCTTTTAAACTTCCTTTGAACAGTGCTACTATCAGACACATTTTATGTAAATGTAAACCACACATCGAGTGTGGTTCACTGTCCCATGTAGTGGCACTTAGACCACTTACAGCCAGAACTATGAGCAAAGGAACTCTACAGTCTGGGCTGTGAGCCAGTGGGCTTTATATCTTAAGTTGAAGAAACTCCTACACAAAACTCCAGAGGACCCAGGTTCAAATCTACCTGCAGTTACATAACAGCTGGTCAAAATAACCTCTGGCAGGTATTTTTGCAACAGCATATATATGAGCTACCTTGCAGCTTTTCCCAATGCAAGCAGAAAAAGGAGAGAGCTTCACTTGGAAATGCAGCCTCCTACCCAAATACCAGTATGCTTAAGTAGGAATGTTACATTCTTGGCATTTAATGGACAGGGATGGCTAGATCTGTTTGGGATGGTTGGAGAACAAGTAAGGATGACCACAAGGTTTAATTATGAACAAGATGCAAGATGCCTAGAACAAGTCGAGGCAAGTCATGGCTGAGGATTTTGTTATTGTTACATTGGTGTCTGAAAAATAACATTCTGTTTCAAGCAAGCTGTTTTCCATGGAAGGTCAAATAGCACTACTGTGGCATTATTCCATTTCAGGGGGGATAATTATTATTAATTTTTCATCTGGTAGATGAGGACTTTTCAAACTTTTTCCTGGGACGCACTTTGAAAATGTTTTGGGCTATGATGACCCCCCCAAAAATGATGAACCTCCCCATTCCATGCTACCCTTACTTCTGTGATGCTGATGGGGAAAGCACTGCCTTCAGAGGTGGGTGCCCAAGAAGCAGCTGCTGCTCTCTGCCCATCCAACTCTGACAGCTTGGGCTGTCATCCCAGCACATAACCAACAGCCAACATGTAAAGGGGCTGACAAAGCCTTACAACCTCACAACCCCTGAGGGGTTGTGACACCCAGTTTGAGAACCCCTGCTGTAGATGGGAAAGAAACATTGCCAATAACAGAGTGGGCACATAGCCACTAAAAACTGAAGTCTTCAGATAGTGCAGCTCCTTGGGCCATTCATTACTTTAAAAAAAAAAAAGATTTAGGGTTCTGGGTGGATAGTTAGCTGAACATGCACTCAAATGCAATGCTGTGGCTAGAAGCACTAATGCAATCCTTGGATACATGAACAGGGAAATCTCTGGTTGAAATAGAGAGGTTATTTTACTTCTGTATTTGACCCGCGATAAAAATTTGTGTCCCCCTCTGGTGTCCACAGTCCAGGAAGGATGTTGGCAAATTGGAGAAGGTTCAGCGAAGAGCCATGAGACTGAAAGATTAGAAACCAGAATTTACAGTGATGGACTTGAGGCCCTCAATCCATTTATCTTAACAGATAAAACAGGAAGGGGTGAGTGGATTACAGTCTGTTAGGATCTACACAAGGAAAAAATATTTGATTCAGTCTATCAGAGAAAGAAATAACTGGTTGGAACTGGAAGCGACACAAATTTCAACTGGAAAGAAGAACATAACGTGAGGCTATGTCTTAACAGGGAGTGTAATTAACCACTGGAACTCTTCACCAAGTGTTGTGGTGGATTCTTCATTCTTGGTAAATTTTAAATGAAGTTTAGAGGTTTTTTAAGGGTCTGCTCTTAAAACATTTTATGGCCCGCATTATATTGGCTTTCAGACTAGATGCTCACCGCAGTCCTTTCTGGCCTTAGGAGCTATGAATTTGGTTCAGATTTAAAATACGGACCAAGAAATGAAAGACTAATAGTATATTATCAGCCCCAGGAGCAATCTAGTCCCTTCTTGTTCTAGGACTCTTTACAAAATAAATAACTCAAAATATTTATAAGAGGGTTGTAAAATGGACTGAAACTACTAATTCATTTCACAATGGCAATAAAAGGACAGTACAGGCAGTCCCCGGGTTACATGGATCCGACTTACATCGGATCCCCACTTACAAACGGGGTGAGGCAACTCTGCACTAGCTGCTTCCCCCACCAGCAGACCAGGGAGAAGCGGAGCGGCTTTTCTCAGCAGACACCTCAGCTTGAGAATAATACCCTGAGGGAAGTGAGGTGTGGGAGAATAAAACTGAGCTCTGGAGAAATGTTTGGCTAGAGTTTCCCCTACAATATGTACCAGTTCCGACTTACATACAAATTCAACTTAAGAACAAACCTACAGTCCCTATCTTGTACGTAACCCGGGGTCTGCCTGTATTGTACACTAAGGCTGTGGTAATACAATTGTAGCCTGCAGCAGTTTGAATTGTTACTGTATTTTATTTTTAAATAACAGTAACAATGTTCAGTATCTCTAGTCTGGATTCAGATCAGTCGTTCGGAGAAGAAAACGTACTCCATAACCAATTAGTGATCCCAGGAGTTATCCACTCTCATTCCAGAAGACATCTTAAAAAGAAAACAGTCTTTCTTAAGGCAACTATGCGTTTTAAGTAAGTTGATCAGTTACTAAATAATGCTCCCACCTAACAATAAAATGTACCTTTTTTTTTAGAGTAAATCAATGGAAACACTAAGTATTTGGAAATGATCGTACTTAATTTTGAACCCCTAATGGATACTTGATAGAGGAAGCATCTAATTTGTAGTGACCTTTATGTGTTGTGAAAATCCCTAATTGTTTCTTATGAAACTAAGTTTATGGATATGGAGGTTTCCCACTGAGATGTAAAAAGAAGAGACACTGATTAAGAGTATACTGAGTATAATACTTTTGCCTTAAAGCTATTTTATTGCTCACCTGTGGTTATGGAGATTTTTCTTATACTCAATCTCTCTCTCTCTCTCTTTCTTTTTTTTTAAAGAGATGAAATAGTTTGCAAGAGTTCCTGTACATCTTGATCCTTGAGTTAATGGGCTTGCTTGCTCATTGTAGTTTGGAGAAAAACAAAACAGGATGCATATGTCCCAGTTTATGCTGCAAATTGAACAACTGTCTTCATGGTATAAAAGATAAACTTCTTTTTAATAATGAAGCCCTTTGAAACCAATTAATAGTTGACCTACATAGTAACGTGCATATTTCCATGTTTTCTCCCTCTTTTTATAGAAGCAATCTCTCAGCAACATGAAAGAACAAATAAGTATGTGGGATCATCCAGTTCTGTGTTAAACGTCTGAGGCTACATTTGCAAGTATGCATTCTGCAAGTTTAAATGAATCCCCTTATATTTATAACCTGGAAACTGACACCAAAGTACCCTTGGATATCACTCTTCAACAAATCTTACATACTCAGGAACACCATGGGTATCTCGGTGCTGCAGGCCAGGATCAGTAGAACTTCACAGCATAGAACACTGAACCTTCAGTTCAAAAAGTAAAGGCCTTTATCCCTTTAGCTAGAAGGGAATTTCTATTGCTGAAGGAATGACAGCACACAGCAGAGCTGCTTTGATTCCACATAGCAGAGGGCAGTGGTACATGCACATTCAAGCCAGTTCTTTGCAATATAGATTTCTCATCACCACCAGTTTTTTTTTCTTCCATATAATTACTGATGGGGAAAAGAATCCAGGGTATGAATTTCCCCTAATATATTAGATACATTGGAAAGGACTTAACAGTGTGTTAAAGTAGAGCAGATGAGCTGGCTGGCTGAACGAGGGTACAATTATGGAAAGAGATACCAGGGAGGCCCATTACATTACCAAAATACAGCCTGTGGCCATGCACTGACGAAAATAGATTTTGACAAATAATTAGTTCGAGCTAGGTAGGGTAATTAGGGCAACTGGAGTTGCAAATGAAGCCCAGGATTTAAATATCCAAAGCTTCATTTGCATGTTCCTGGGCACTACAATTTTTAAATCCCCCTTAGTCCGAACTCTGTGCCCG